TATATATATATATATATATATATATATATATATATATATATATATATATATATATATATATATATATATATATATATATATATATATAGATGATCTACTGTTGTTGATATTGTTACGGTGAAATAAGGGAGGATTTTGTGTTGTCTGGTGGGATCGGGTTGCGCACCGCAATAACCTATATGTTTCTATTTCTTGAGCCATGTTGGTTTTTCCGGTATTGAGATTTGAACTGTTAAAGATTGGTGATTCTGGACGATATTGGTTTATTCTTGAGGCTGTGTTATTAATTTCAGTTGACTGTTAAATTCTGCTAAATATTTCCTATTTTCCGTCATTATTATATACTGCGTACAGGTTGTACTGTACGTGACCCGCCTTAGCCTCGTCACTACTTCGTCGAGGTTAGGATCGGCACTTACTAGTACATGGGGTCGGTTGTACTGATACTACACTTTGCACACTGTGCAGATTTTGGAGTCGGTCCCAGCTGCGGTTATTAGCGTGCTCGGATTGGGCAGTTGAGGAGACTTGAGGTACGACTGTTCAGCGTCCACAGCTCCTGGAGTCCCCTTCCTCTTTCTATTTAGATGTGTATTTTCATTCAAACAGTTTTGTATTTATTTCAGACCCTTGTATGTATTACTCTAGAAGCTCGTGCAGTTGTGACACCGAGTTTAAGGATTTGTAGCAGATGTTTTACAGTTTTAGCTTCCGCATTCATATTTTAGTTATTTCAGTATTTCTCGTTATTCAATTCAACTGTTAAAAATGGATAATAGATTCTAACATTGGCTTGCCTAGCAATTGAAATGTTAGGCGCCATCACGATCTCGACAGTGGGAATTCTGGGCCGTGACATGTTGGTTTCATAGCACTAGGTTACATAGGTCTCACGAGTCACGAGCAAACTTAGTAGAGTCTGGAGGATCGGTACGAATTCGCCTGTACTTATCTTCTGGAGGCTATGGAGTTAGGAACAGTTTCACTTCTATTTTTCTCTGTCGTGCGATTTTATTCTATTACTACTGATTGGACCCTTCTATTCTGTTCTCTCATAGATGGCGAGAACGCGTACGGCATCTTCAGCTGAGCAGCAGCCAGAGCCCCAGTGACAACTCCTACTAGCGGCAGAGGTCGATGCCGAGGCCGTGCCAGAGGCCGAGGCAGGGCTCAGCCCCGAACTCTAGTAGCAGCACCAGCAGCGGAGCCTCAGGTGGAGTTTGACGAGGAGGTTCTAGCCCAGGCTGTGCCTGTCGGACCAGCTCTAGTCCCGGAGGGGTTCATCACCATCCCCGTGCTTCAGGACGCTTTGGTCCGTTTGGTAGGCCTTATGGAGAGTGTGGCTCAGGCCGGTACATTTCCTGTGGCACCAACCGTCTCTCAAGCTAGGGGAGGAGCACAGACTCCCCCTACTAGCACTCCGGAGCAGATGGCTCCCCAGTTTAGACTCCGGCAGCCCAGCTAGTTGGGGTAGTTCAGCCGGGTGTTGCGGCACAGGCCGGTGATGGATCAGCTATGTCTTCTGAGGCTTTATGGAGATTGGATAGGTTTACTAAGCTCTTTCCAGTTCACTTCAGTGGTGTATCTTTAGAGGACCCCCAGGACTATCTTAACAGTTGTCATGAGGTGCTACGGAACATGGGTATAGTGGAGACCAATGGGGTGGATTTTGCTGCATTCTAGTTGTCGGGTTCTGCCAAGAAATTATGGAGGGATTATGTGTTGACCAGACCAGCTGGGTCGCCTGCTCTTACTTGGGACCAGTTTTCTGAGCTATTTCTTGAGAAGTTCCTTACTATCACTCAGAGAGAGAGAGCTATCGCAGGCAGTTCGAGCGCCTCCAGCAGGGTAGTATGACAGTCACCTAGTATGAGACCCGCTTTGTGGACTTAGCCCGTCATGCTATTCTTCAGCTTCCTAGCGAGAGAGGGGGTGAGGAGGTTTATTGAGGGACTCGCTCATCCTATCGAGTTGCAGATGGCCAAGGAGGCCGGGAGTGAGATTTCTTTTCAAATGGCTGCTAATGTCGCCAGGCGGATCGGGGATGTTCTTTCATAGGAGAGAGGGCAGGAGTCAGATAAGAGGCCTCGTCATTCCGGTGGTTTTAGTGGTGTCTCATCTGGATGAGGGGGTACTTTTTGTAGGGGCCATCCTTCCAGGCCATATCAGTAAGCGTTTCAGGCATCCACAATGCTTCAGGGAGTCGTGGTCCTTATGTGCCTCATTCTAGGTAGCCAGCCTACAGTGCACCGCCAGTTCCTATCAGTGCATCTCCTATTCAGAGTTATTACCGTGATCAGTCGGCCCGTTCAGGTCAGTCTCAGTTTCAGCAGCCACAGCACCATGATGGATGTTTTGAGTATGGTGGTTTTGGGCATATTAAGAGGACCTGTCCGAGATTATTGGGCGGTACGCCACAACAGAGTTCTCGTACCATGATTCCGGCACCGGTTGCATCACCACCCGCTCAGCCAGCTAGAGGTAGGGGTCACGGAGCCAAAAGTAAAGGTCAGACAGCAAGAGCTGGAGGTCAGGCTGTTAGAGGTGGAGGTTAGGCCGCTAGAGGTGGAGGCCATCCAGCAGGAGGTCGTCCTAGAGATGTAGTTCAGAGTGGTAGGGCCCAGCCCCGATGCTATGCCTTTCCAGCCAGGCCCGAGGCTGAGTCACCTGACCCGGTTATCACAGGTACGGTTTCAGTTTGCAGTAGAGATGCCTCAGTTTTATCTAATCCACGTTCTACTTATTCATACGTGTCTTCCTATTTTGCTTCATATTTGGTTATGCCTCGTGATTCTTTGAGTGCTCTTGTGTATGTGTCCACACCCGTGGGAGATGCTATTGTAGTAAATCGTGTTTATCGTTCGTGTGTGGTTACCATTTGGAGTCTTGAGACTAGTGTAGATCTTCTACTTCTCGATATGGTTGATTTTGATGTCATTTTGGGTATAGATTGGTTGTCACCTTATCATGCTATATTGGATTGTCACGCCAAGACGGTGACCTTAGCCTTGTCGAGGTTCCTCGATTAGAGTGGAGAGGGACTCTTGGCCATTCTACCAGTAGGGTTATCTCATATGTGAAGGCTTGACATATGGTCGAGAAGGGGGGTCTAGCTTATTTGGCTTATGTCCGTGATTCTAGTGCGGAGGTTCCTTCAATGGATTCAGTACCAGTTGTTCGTGAGTTCCCAGAGGTGTTTCCTGCAGATCTACTGGGGATGCCACCCGACAAAGATATTGACTTCTGTATTGATTTGGCTCCGGGCACTTAGCCCATTTCTATTTTGCCATACCGTATGGCCCTGCCCGAGTTGAAAGAATTGAAGGAGTAATTGCAAGATTTGCTTGATAAGGGCTTCATTAGACCTAGTGTCTCACCCTGGGTGCGCCTGTGTTGTTTGTGAAGAAGAAGGGTGGGTCGATGAGGATGTGCATAGATTATCGGCAGTTGAACAAAGTCACCATCAAGAACAAGTATCCATTACCAAGGATTGATGACTTATTTGATCAGCTTTAGGGTGTCAAAGTGTTTTCAAAGATTGATTTGAGGTCTAGCTACCATCAGTTGAGGATTAGGGCATCCGATGTCCCTAAGACAGCTTTTCAGACTCGGTACAAACATTATTAGTTTCTAGTGATGTCATTTTGGCTGATAAATACCCCAGCAACATTCATGGATTTAATGAACCGAGTGTTAAAGCCCTATCTGGACTCCTTTGTGATTGTGTTTATTGATGATATCTTGATCCACTCCCGCAGCCGAGAGAAGCATGTGCAACATCATCGGATCGTTCTTCAGACTCAGTCAGCCTGTTATATGCTAAGTTTTCAAAATGCGAGTTTTGGTTGAGCTCAATCGCTTTCTTGGGTCACGTTGTATCGGCAAAGGGAATTCAAGTGGATCCTAAGAAGATTGAGGCAGTTCAGAACTGGCCTAGGCCCACATCAGCTATGGAGATCTGGAGTTTCTTGGGATTGGCAGGTTATTACCATCAGTTTGTGGAGGGGTTTTCATCTATAGCAGCCCCGTTGACCAAGTTGACCCAGAAGGGTGCCGCGTTGAGATGGTCAGACGAGTGTGTGGCGAGCTTTCAGAAGCTCAAGACTGCTTTGACTACGGTGCCAGTGTTGGTGTTGCCCAATGGTTCAGGATCTTATACCGTATATTGTGATGCATCTCGTATTGGACTTGGTGCTGTATTGATGCATGGCGGCAAGGTGATTGCGTATCCGTCACGGCAGTTGAAGGTTCACGAGAAGAATTACCATGTTCATGACTTAGAGCTGGCATCCATTTTTCATGCGCTGAAGATTTGGAGGCACTATCTTTATGGCGTGTCGTGTGAGGTATTCACGGATTATCGGAGTTTGAAGTATTTGTTCAAGAAAAAGGAGCTCAATTTGAGGCAGAGGAGGTGGTTAGAGCAATTGAAAGATTATGTTATCACCATCTTATATCATCCCGGGAAGGCCAATGTGGTGGCCGATGCTTTGAGTAGAAAGTCAGTGAGTATGGGCAGCCTTGCGTTCATTCCAGTCGGTGAGAGACCGCTTGCATTAAATGTTCATACTTTGTCCAATCAGTTCGTGAGGTTGGATGCTTCCGAGACCAGTCGTATTCTAGCTTGTACTGTCGTTCGGTCTTCATTGTTTGAGCGTATCAGGGAGCAGCAGTATGATGACCCTCATTTGCTTGTCCTTAGGGACACAGTGCGGCACGGGGATGCCAAGAAGATTACAGTTGGATATGATGGAGTTTTGAGGATGCAGGGTTGTGTTTCTGTGCCTAATATGGATGGACTTCATGAGTTGATTCTAGATGAGACCCACAATTCCCCGTATTCTATTCATCCAGGCGCTGCCAAGATGTATCAGGACTTGCGACAGCATTATTGGTGGAGGAGGATGAAGAAGGACATAGTTGCGTATGTAGCTCGATGTCTAAATTGTCAGCAAGTAAAGTATGAGAATCAGAAACCTGGTGGTTTGCTTCAGAAGATAGATATTCCTGAGTGGAAGTAGGAGTGTATCACTATGGATTTCGTTGTTAGACTCCCACGGACTCAGAGGAAGTTCGATGCAGTTTGGGTCATTGTGGATAGGCTGACCAAGTCAGTGTATTTCATTCCTGTGGCAGTTACCTATTCTTCTAAGCGGTTGGCAGAGATTTACATCCACGAGATCGTTCGTCTTCACGGTGTGCCCATGTCTATCATTTCTAATCAAGGTACGCAGTTCACCTAGCACTCCTGGAAGGCAGTACAGCGTGAGTTGGGCACGCAGGTTGAGTTGAGCACATCATTTCATCCTCAGATAGACGGACAGTCCGAGCACACTATTCAGATATTGGAGGATATGCTCCGCGCTTGTTTATTGACTTCGGAGGCTCTTGGGATCAGTTCTTGCCACTTGCAGAGTTTGCCTACAACAACAGCTACCAGTCGAGCATTTAGATGGCTCCCTATAAGGCATTATACGGTAGGTGATGCCGATTGCCAGTTGGATGGTTTGAGCCGGCGGAGGCTCGGTTATTAGGTACAGATTTGGAACAAGATGCCTTGGATAAGGTTAAGATCATTCAGGATAAACTTCGCACCACTCAATCCAGGCAGATGTGTTATGCCGACTATAAGGTTCGTGATGTTGCATTCATGGTCGGAGAGAGAGTTTCTCTCCGGGTATCTCCCATGAAGAGTGTAATGAGGTTTGGAAAGAAGGGCAAGTTGAGCCCTAGGTACATCGAACCTTTTGAGATTCATCAGAGAGTGGGTGAGGTGGCTTACAAGCTCGCATTGCCACCTGGTTTGTCAGCAGTTCATCCGGTATTCCATGTGTCCATGCTCCGGAAGTATCACGGTGATCCGTCTCATGTGCTAGATTTCAGCTCTGTCCAGTTGGACAAGGATTTGACTTATGAGGAGGAGCCGGTGGCTATTCTAGCCCGACAGGTTCACCAGTTTAGATTAAAGAGTTATCCTTCAGTTCGAGTGCAGTGGAGAGGTCAGTCCGTCGAGGCAGCTACTTGGGAGTCCGAGTCGGATATGCGGAGTAGATATCCACACCTTTTCACTAGCCCAGGTACTTTTCAATGTCCGTTCGAGGACGAACGGTTATTTTGGAGGTGGAGAATGTGATGACCCGATAGGTCATCTCATGTTTTAGAACTAAATTCTGTGTTCCAAAGCCTTAAATATCTTATTTTAGCCTTCCTCGATTTGCGTACGCGGTCCGGGTGTTTTTCCGGAAGGCTTATATGTTAAAAACTGATGAAAATAAGAATTTTTGCCTAAAAAATTAATTTGAGTTGACTTGGTCAATATTTTGAGTAAACGGACACGGATTCGTGTTTTGACGATCCCGGTGGGTTCGTTTCAAAATATGGGACCTGGGCGTGTGCCCAAAATCGAATTCGGAGGTCCCAAGCTCGAGTTATGAATTTTTGTTGTAAAAGTCTGAAAGTTTAATAGTTTTTAAGAATTGACCGATGATTGATCTTGTTGATACCGGGTCCGTATTTTAGTTTCGGAGCCCGGTACAGGTCCATTATCATAATTATGACTTGTCTGTGAAATTCGGTGAGAAACGGAGTTAGTTTGACGTGATTCGGACGTTCGGTTGTGAAATTAGAAGTTTTAAAGTTTTCTTGAAAATTTCATTTGATTTGGTGTTCAATTCGTAGTTCTAGGTGTTATTTTGGCGATTTGATCGCGCGAGTAAATTCGTTTGATGTTTTAGGACTTGTGTGCATGTTTGATTTGGAACCCCGAGGGCGCGGGTGAGTTTCGGATATGCTACCGAGTGAAAATTGGACTTAGAGCATTGTTGGTTCTGCAACTGGTGTCTGATCTCGCATTTGTGAGAGCAGTGTTCGCATTTGCGAACATTCCCCAAGCTGGCAGGCTCGCAATTGCGAGCAAATTTTTCGCATTTGCGAAGAGTACCTGGGCCAGCCTTAATTCGCATATTCGATCTAGAGGTCGCATTTGCGGGGAGCCAGTAATCGTATTTGCGGCCAAGTCTTCGCATTTGAGCTGGGTCAGGTAGTGGTCGCAGTTGCGATCAAATGGTCACAATTGCGGATTGGTCAGTGTTCGCATTTGCGAACTTCTCATCGCAAATGCGATAACTGCATAGGTGTGGGAATCTTCGCAAATGCGATAGATTTCTCGCATTTGCGGGCTTCGCATTTGCGAAACCCAGGTCGCAAATGCTACATCTGCAGCTGAACAAAATATGACTTAGACGGGATTTTTGGTTTATTCTTCAAATTTTCAAAACCTAAAACCTTAGAGTCGATTTTTCCAAGACTCATTCTTCCCCAAATCGATGGTAAGTGATTCTAACCTATCTCCTTTCAATCTTTCACTATATTTCATAAGTTTTCAACCTAAAATCTAGAGTTTTCATGGCGGAATTGAGGGTTTTGGATAGGAATTAGGATTTGGTAAATTGGGAATTTAAACCTCAAATTGAGGTCGGATTCTAAAACCAATTATATAACCGGGCTCGGGGGTGAATGGGTAATCGGATTTTGGTCCGAATTTCGAGTTTGGACCAAGTGATCCTGGGTGTTGACTTTTGTTGACTTTTTCAATAATGATCTAAATTGAATCTTTGCAATCGTGGGTGATTCCTAAGGCTTATTTTGAATCGTTTGGTTGGTAATTTGCTAAATATTGTTGGTTCGGTGGCTTGTTTGAAAGGCAAAAATGTGGTTGAGTTTTGAGTGGTCTTTGGAGCGAGGTAAATATTCTGTCTAACCTTGACTTGAGGGAATTAGGAACCCTCAGACTATGTGCTATGTGATTCTCATGTGAGCGGCGTATATGCGAGGTGACGAGTGCTTATACGTCGCCGAATTATCTGTTTTCCCTGATTACTGCTTTTTCTTAATTATTTCCTTTCCTATCTTAACAGTTATGTGCTCTATGTGCTTTTCATGCTTAATTGCTACTTGCTATTCAATATCTTCTCTTGTTCACGATAATAGTTCTTCCATAGATTCATGACTCCCTGCTATTTGTTTAAATTGACTCACTTGCACCTTTTAATCGTCAATTGCTGAATTGGTCTCGCTGTGTAGTAGTACTCGTGTAGATTTCTTTACTGTACAAATTCCCTTTTGGTTCAGTTTGGTATTTATTGACCGTAAAGGCTTTGTGGTTGAACTATTGATTTGATTGTGCTTTGAGTATTTGGTAATGATATGGTGGGATCGGGCTGCACGCCGCAACAGGTGTAATAAGGTTGGGTTGATATGATGGAATAAGGGTGAATATGTTCTATACGGTGGGATCGGGTTGCGCGTCGCAGTAGGTGGAATAAGGGTGGATTGATACAGCGAAATAAGGATGAATTATGATATTGATAATGACATATGGTGGGATCGGGTTGCGTGCCGCAACACACACACACACACACACACACACATATATATATATATATATATATATATATATATATATACTGTTGTTGGTATTATTACGGTGAAATAAGGGAGGATTTTATGTTGCCCGGTGGGATCGGGTTGCGCCGCAACAACCTATATGTTTCCATTTCCTGAGTCGTGTTGATTTTTCCGGTATTGATATTTGAACTGTTAAAGATTGGTGATTTTTGACGACGCCGGTTTATTCTTGAGTCTGTGGTTATTAATTTCAGTTGTGTGTTAAATTCTGCTCAGTATTTCCTATTTTCCGTCATTATTATATAATGCGTATAGGTTGTTGTGTAGGTGACCCGCCTTAGCCTCGTCACTACTTCGTCGAGGTTAGGCTCGGCACTTACCAGTACATAGGGTCGGTTGTACTGATACTACACTCTGTATAGTGTGCAGATTTTGGAGTCAGTCCCAGCGGCGGTTATTAGCGTGCTCGGATTGGACAGTTGAGGAGACTTGAGGTACGACTGTTCAGCACCCACAGCTCCTGGAGTCCCCTTCCTCTTTCTATTTAGCTGTGTATTTTCATTCAAATAGTTTTGTATTTATTTCAGACCCTTGTATGTATTACTCTAGGAGCTCGTGCACTTGTGACACCGAGTTCAGGGATTTGCAGTAGATGTTTTACAGTTTTAGCTTCCGCATTCATATTTCAGTTATTTCAGTATTTCTCGTTATTCAATTCAACTATTAAAAATGGATAATACATTCTAATGTTGGCTTACCTAGCAAGTGAAGACGCCATCACGGTCCCGACGGTGGGAATTCCGGGTCGTGACAGTTAGTTCTCCTATGGAGTAAATTATTTAGTTTTGAGTTAATACCCTAAAATCCGCCTAAACTAAACAATTTTTGTTAGGTGCCTACCTAAACTATCACCTGTTCCCGAAAACCCCCTGAACTATATCCCCTTCGTAATAAAACCACCTCGTTACTTGTGTGGCATTATACGTGTAATTAATCACCCAAGAGCGCGTGAAGGCTAAAAAAAGCCATTAAAATGGTGTCTAATAGCTAATTAACCCTTCTTTTTAAAAATTTATATTCCTTTTTATTTTCTCCTCTTTTTCTTTATATTACACCTTCCTTCCTCATTTTTTACCTTTCTTCTCCAATTTTTCACCTTTCTTCTCCATTTCTTCATTTGAATCCATTTGAAACTCTCTCTCTCTCTCTCTCTCTCTCTCTCTCTCTCTCTCTCTCTCTCTCTCTCTCTCTCTTATTATTTTTGATTTTATTTCTTATCTTTCTTGTTTTATCCATCCTTCATTTCTTACCTAAATTTATTTAAAAGAAGGAACACCCTTTTAAGTATTTGTAGGGGATGAGGTTTAATGCCTTTCAAGAAATTAGGGAATAAAGAAATAGGACCTGTGTGTAGGTATATTTTTTAACAATTTAGGTATTTCCTTTCAACAATCTTCAAGATTTAGGTCTATCAAAACCCTAATATTCTATACCGATTTAGGAGCAGAAACCCTAGTTTTTATCCCGATTTTCGAACGGAAGCAAGAATAGACAATGCAATCGAGGTTAGAACCAATATTTAATGGAGAAAATAGCTAGAGAGATTAGAGCCATTCTCTAATAAGAGCAAGTCTCCGATGAGAGCAAAGAGAAAATGAGTTTTTTCAGTTGACTCACTTGTTTTAACCCTAGCCCCCTTTTTTATTTTTACCATATAATTTTTTACAATGATATAATAAGAGTATTAAAATCTTAATTAAGTATGTTTTTTAGATTAAGATAAAAAAATATTCACGAAGATTGCCAAATGGCAGAATTTAAAAATAATTTGAAGAGTGTATTACACACACTAGTAAGAATGCGACCGGGGTGGGGGTGGGGGAAGTTATATTATGAAGGGGGATCAGGGGGGTTTTGGGGACAGGTGATAGTTTATGTAGGTAACTGACAAAGGTTATATAGTTTAGGCGGTATTACCTCTTTAGTTTTTGAATTGTGGCTAGAGACACGATGAAATTTAAATTCGTGAATGACTATCATCTATGAGAAAATAAAAAAATGAATAGGGCCGTAACACAAATATATGTATAGTAAAAATAGGGAAGTTAGAAACCTAATTAATAAAGGATTGGGATGTCCTAATACTCACCAACTTCACCTTATAACCTAAGTAAGAAGTAAACATATAGTAACAGAGTACGAAGCAGCAGCAGCAGACGTTCACTAGTTACATACCGATATTTCATAGCTTACTTTCAGAAATGGCTGAAGCCTTGTGGAAGAGAGTGAGGACGCTGGGTAGAGGTGGGTTTGGGGTTGTTTCTTTAGCTTCCACGTCCAATATTCAACCTGCCGCGTTAGAGCGTCTTCCACCTCTCATTGCAGTTAAATCTTGCATACTCGATCGTTCTGGATCGTTGCAAGAAGAAAGGGCATTCCTCCGCATGTTTGAATACTCGCCTTACGTAATTCACTGTTATAGAGTTAATATTACACAAGAAGATGGCGTCACCCTTTACAACTTACTTCTCGAATATGCCTCCGGAGGAAGCTTAGCCGATCGTCTTCACAACTACAATTCAGGGGAAGGACTGTCAGAGTTTGAAGTTAGAAAACACACGAAGAACATTGTTTTAGGGCTCATTCACATACACAGCAGAGGAGTTATTCACTGTGACATAAAGCCAGATAATATTCTTCTTGCCGGCACTGATGAAACAGCCAAGATCGCAGATTTCGGGCTCTCTATGACTTTGGAACAGAGCAGGGCCGAAAACCAGGGACTGAAGGGAACTGAAAGGTATATGGCACCAGAATCCGTGGCTGACGAAAAGTACGGAACAGAAGTTGATATATGGGCTCTCGGTTGCACTGTCTACGAGTTGATGACGGGGACACCGCTGTGGGAATCAGATGAAGATAGCCAAGATTCGGGTGTTTTATACAGAATCGAGTTTGAGAAACCAATGTTTCAGAATGCAAAGTTGTCGAATGAAGCACAAGATTTTTTGAAGAGGTGTCTAGTCAAGAATCCCACTTCACGTTGGACGGCGGAGATGCTATTGAACCATCCGTTTCTGAATTCATCCAAAGTAGCAGACAATAATGTCCAGCCTGAAACAAAGACAACTAAGAAGCTAGGTGGTTACAAAATTATTTTACACAGACCGCAGCAGAAGATAGTATTCAAGACACAACCACATAACCGTGAAGTGATTATAGAACATTGATGCAATAATCAGAATGTACCTGCAGAATCTGAAGAAATTAGAGAGGCGATACTGAAAGTAGATAGATTGATAATTGATTTGTAATATAGTATGTAAAAGAACTACGTGTGGGCTTGATCCTATTAGGATTTGTTAGTGGGGTACGTAGGCAGCCTGCGACCAAGATGAACTCAGGTGCAGCCCCTTTCTAGTTAAAAAAAAACTACAATTGAATACTGTATAAGTAAAGAACTACGTGTGGGCTTGATCCCTCTTTAGGATTTGTTAGGGGTACGTAGGCAGCCTGTGACCAAGAAGATCTCAGGTGCAGCCCCTTTTTAGTTAAAAGGAAATACAATTGAATGCTGTACATATGGTTATAGTAGCTATTTGATCAATACTCCTTACAAAGAAAAGGCTTCTTTTTGTATGAGTAGCACCAGTTTTTAAACACATGCCTCAGTAAAATAGTTGCATAGTTCTATTCTATGTCATTCATTAATTTTAAGTGCTAGTCCAATTTCAAACTGCAAACTCTGTTGCAGAATCAGAAATTTTTGTATCTTCTGTGATTGGCTTGTAGAAATCAGAAATTTTCGGAGCCTGTTCTTTATTCCTTTATTGAATTTTGTCGTATTGCCTCTTTTTGGTATCCGAGGTCCTGTATTTTATGAAGCTGGCAGCCGCGCATAAACACTGCTCAGTAGTTGAGTTTGTTTATTAGGACTGATCTGCGATGTTAGAAATCTTTGGTTTCTTTAATATGACTGATCTGTTGCGCTTTTAGTTAACATATTTGCGCTCTCTTTTGTCAACCAATTTAGCAACAATGTTTTTACCTGTCAAGTACTACTGGTTTTGGTGAGTGTGTTATCTTGACTCATCTAGTGAGGTATGAAGCTTCTCATTGTGCTTATCTGAAAACAGAAATCTGTTCCTGGATATTATGGCAATGTTTCATCTGTACGGGCTCTTTCTTTATTCTGTGTATCCATACAAATGTACACAACATTTCATCTATAAAAACCACCACAACAAAGTACTCTTCTTGGGTGCAGACTTAATTCCTTGTAACTAATCAACATTGCAAGAGTGGTACCTTAGATTCTGGACCATCAAAAGAATCCTATTCTAAGCTAATGTCATCTATTCTGTAGTTAAAAAAGATAATTTATTCATGATTATACTTCGTGATTTTCATGTTTTAAATACACAATTACATAATATAATCATTGTTTACACTATATTTATTTCAAAATCAAGCTTCAGTTCAAAACTATTAGCTTTAAATTGAACATTTTTATTTAATTACAAAAAAGTTTAAACCATATACAAATTTCCTTGTACAATAGGTTGTAAGCACCCTCCACTTCCAATCAAGAGGTTGTGAGTTCGAGTCACCCCAAGAGCAAGGTAGGGAGTTCTTGGAGGGAAGGATGCCGGGGGTCTATTGGAAATAACTTTTCTACCTCAGGGTAGATGTAAGGTCTGCGTACACACTACCCAGACCCCACCAGTGGGATTATACTGGGTTGTTGTTGTTGTTGTTGTTGTTGTTGTATATTCGAATATTTAATTTTTTCTTAACGTTAATTTTCAAGATATATTAGTAGCATTATAAAACAACTTTGTTGAGCAATTCTTTTCTTGAATTTAATTGACCGACCAACTTTGATCGGTATGCCCTTCCGACCTTCAAACACACGTTAATGGTCGCGTTTTGGACGGTTATTGGCCATTACCAACCAACTTTGGTCGGTTTTTCCCAAATTTTTAGTAGTGTAATTTCCCAAATAACCAATTGCCGACCAGGTAAATCCCCAAGAAAATACCCCCCAGCTAAATTCGCATGTAGAGTTACCTAGGGATTTTCTTTCAGATTAACATATAATTTTTTTCCTCATTTTCTTTGTTTGTTTACCTACGAATTTTCTCACGAAAATGTACTTGCCGATTTATTTCTCTACTAATATATATTAAGATTACTGACAAATTTAATAACGCTACTAATATATCTTGAAAACTAACGTTAAGAAAAAAATTAAATATACTAATATATTATAAAAATAATAAATAAAATAATATTAAGTTATTTTATTTATAAATAAAATACATAGGTAAAAATATATTATATAGTATATAATATAGAAGGTATTACATAAATATGAAGGTTTATATAATATTAAGGGCATAATAAGACTTTTCAAGTAAAAAATGTGACTTTTTTTGATAACTAGAGTCAAAAGTAAAAATGAATTTTTGTGTAAACAAAAGAAAGAAAAAGTAAACTTTTGTGTAAATGAAACACAAAAGTTAAAAATGAATTTTTTACGTNTATATTAAGTTTAAAAATAATAAAGCATTAAATTTTTTCTTGGGCCTTAGAATTATAAAACAATTACGAGCCAACAAGTAAGAAACTCAAAATCCTAATTCCAAAACCTATTATGCTACTCCTATGGAAACTAAATTATTTCCAGCATATTCACTAGCAAGACACAAGGTATTGTAGAGAATGAGTAACAAATTGTAATGTATTGAATATGTTTACTTTCGTATGATTCAGATTTATCCTTTTGAATATTTAATCCTATAGACTTTATTCTTGAGTCTCAGTTTGATTAATGTCTTTCATATTTGCTTAGTTTCTTTTACGCTGTAGTAGAATATTTAATGAATCTATACTCTAGCCATCTTTCATTATTTCTTAATTCATCACCTTTTAAACTGTAAAAATATCTAGAGAATTTTTGTCAGGTCTTATAAATGTACATATGTTATTGCATTCCACTTCTACTAGTGACTTTAACATAACATTTAAAAAAAATTACCGAAAACTAACCGAACCGTACCGATACCGAAGAGAAACCGACATGATTGGAACGGTTTTGAAAAGTCTAATATTGGTTATATATAATAGAATAACCGAAAAATTGGTAAGGTATATATTTTATAAAATAACCGGCCGAACCGAACCATTGACACCCCTACATATAGTACCAAATTCTATCCATATACCAATCATCAATCAGATGCATACAGTGAAGAAGGTAGGATTAATTTACCAAGAACATTTACTATATATTCATTCAAAAAATATCGTACCTTCTATATGCAGTGTGGGTAGAGGTGTTGAAAGGCACCTCAGGTGCTTGCTGCCAGGCAGAGGCGGGCATGCATGGGGGACGCTGGCATGGGGCGTGGGCATTGGGGGCATGCACGGCTTGTCCGTGCTACGTCCCCGAAGTTCACAAACCGCGCCGGCAAGTACTCGTGTGGGCTCGTAGTATGCCTGGTGGTGACACCGCTCGTGGCAAACATTGGCATTTGGCAACGAACGGCGGAGCATCGTGCAAGTAGCGCCGCAAGGTGCCGTGCGCATGGGGCGAAGCTTAGTAAGTGTCGATTGCCATTGGATGTTGCGGGCAAAATCGGGAGGCGACATCGCTCGTGGCGGCTGATGGCTTTTAGCAACAGAACGGCAAAGCATCGTGCAAGTAGCGCCGCAAGGTGCCATGCGCATGGGGCGAAGCTTAGTAAGTTGCGGATTGCCATCGGTTGTTGCGGGTTGTGTCTGGCACCGCTCGTGGCAGCTGATGGCTTTTGACAACGAACGGCGGAGCGTCGTGCAAGTAGCGCCGCAAGGTGCCGTGCGCATGGGGCGAAGCTCAGTACATGTCGATTGCCATCGGTTGTTGCGGGCAACATCGGGAGGCGACATCGCTCGTGGCGGCTGATGGCTTTTGGCAACAGAACGGCAAAGCATCGTGCAAGTAGCGCCGCAAGGTGCCATGCGCATGGGGCGAAGCTTAGTAAGTTGCGGATTGCCAT